CTAGTCGACTAAACGGTACAGCTCCTACTAGTCGACACTGAAAACAATAGTCGATTACACGACAGAAAAAAATACATGATTTTATCATTCAAATTACCATCATTTTAACATTTAAATAAGTTAAAATAAAACATTTAAAAAATAATACATTATTTTTAAAAGTTTATCTGGGTGGAAACTACATTTTTACCTTAGACCTCACATGCGTTTTCTTCCTGTCAGTTGCAGAGTTCAAAAATGACCATGCGAAAGACGAGCAAGGTGTGGGATTATTTTGAATTAGAAGGAAACTGAAAAATTGTGTAAACAGTGTAATGTCAAATTGTCTTACAATAACTCTACTGGAGCGATGCGTAATCATATTCAATACAGGCACGTAGGCGTTAGCTTAGAGGCTGGCCAAAGCCAGCAAATGTCAATCACTACAACCCGCCGGCGCTGCGATCCCGTCCGCGCCGTCTATTCCTCTAACAAACACCCACTTCGGTGGTGGTGCGGGATGTCCAGGCGCTTTCTGAAACTCTTATCGGCTTGCTTTTCGTTATCTCTGCGTGCCTGCGACTTCAGTTCCTGCCGAGCGTGTTTTTTCAAATGCAGGAATTTTATTGTTAATCGCCTCAGGTCCCGTCTTTCACCAGACCACGAGATAATTTCACTGAACAAATAACGCATGGTCTGAGTAAGAAAAATGGGCATTGTTGCATTTTGTTTTTAGACGATATAGCCTACACGAAGTATGTTTTTAAAAGCCGTTTTAATGCTATTTCTTGATAAACCTTCCTATTGTTTTTGACTTGTGTTTTAATATGTTGGCTAACGTTATATGAAGATTAAGAATTCTGTCAGGCTATTGATTGATTTTCCATTGTTCTGCATTTCCCCAGCTGATTTGAATAAATAAGCTATGCTTTGACCGACGTTGAGGGTATGCTCTTCTTGTTTTTTTCTTTTTAACAACCGCCTAAATGAAATGATGATAACGCGAGGCAAGTGTGCGGCAAGCGGAATTCATTGAGGGATTTGACAGTGTGATTCATAGATTAAGTATTTCAAATATAGGCTATAATGTATGCTACATGCACGCACAGAGGGTTTTTTCTTTTTGGGGGGTTTCTTGCTTTTAGACTAGTCGGATACAAAACTTTCGTTTAAACGGCAGTCAAATTAGTCGTCGCGCACATCCCTAGTGCTTAGGTTCATTGTCCTGTTGGAAGGTGAACCTTCTGCCCAGTCTGAGGTTCTGAATGCTCTGGACTGGGTTTTCATTAAGGCTATCTCTATATTTTGCTGCACTGAGCGTTTCTTCTACTCTGATCAGTCCCTGTCACAGCATGAGGCTGCTACCAGCACACTTTAGTTTTGGGATGCTACTCTGCAGGTGATGAGCAGAGCTGGTTTCCTTCAAACATTATGCTTGGAATTGAGGTTCATCAGACCAGAGAATCTCGTTTCTCACAGTCTGAGGGTCCTTTAGGTGCTTTTTTGTAAATTCCAAGTGTGTTTTCATGTGTCTTAACTGAAGAGAGGATTGAGTTTGGCCACACCGTCATTAAGACTGGATTGGTGGAGTGTTGCAGTGATGTTTGTCCTTCTGTAAGTTTCTCCCCTCTGCACATATGATCATGGAGCTCAACTAGAGTGACCATCAGGTTCTTGATCACCACACTAACCAAAGCCCTTCTCCATCAATTGCTCAGTTTGGAAGAGTCCTGGTTGTTTCAAATGTCTTCCATTAAGGGTAACAGAGACCCTTCAATGAAGCAGATTTTTTTTCTCTGAACTCTTCCCCAGATGTGTGGCTTGACGCAAACCTGTTTCTGAGCTCTACAGGCAGTTCTTTTGACCTCAGGGCTTGATTTTTGCTCTGATATACATTATCAGCTTTTCTACCTTTAATTAAGACGTGTGTGCCTTTCCCAATCATACCCATTCAATTGAATTTGCCACAGGTTAACTTCACTCGAAGTGTAGTGACATCTACAAGCAATATGAATGCTCCTGAGCTAAATTTCAACTGTCCCAGATGAATACTTATGCAATGGGATCATTTTAGTTTTTTATTTTGAATACATTTGCAAAGATGTTAGAAACCTGTTTTTTGCTTTACCGTTATGGTGTATGGAGTATAGATTGATGTGTGAAAAAAGTAATTTAAAGCAGTTTAACATAAGGCAGCAACTTAACAAAATGTGAAAAAAAATGAAGGGGTAGGAATATTTTCGCAAGGCACTGTATGCTAATAAAACAAAGTAAATGCAAAGTTACAGTTCTTCTTCATCTTGGTCCTTCAGTCATTTACATGCACTTGTGCACTTAACATGGATAAAACGTCCATAATTTAGACTTATTTTGAATGATTTCTTAGGTTTTCTACTAGAGGTAGGCTCGTATGAGCCCTCATTAGTTGATGTTGTGTGTGTGTGTGTGTGTGTGTGTGTGTGTGCACCTGCAGTAACCTGTTAGTATTTACTTATTTAGTACATTTATTACACTTTTATTATTTGAAAATATTTCAATTAGTATGTTTTTATGGGAAAGAAATCATGTTGACTTACATTTTGTTCAGTGATGCTGTTGTCATTGTTGAACTTAAAGGGGTCATGAACTGCCTTGGATTTGATTGTGTACTGTTCTCTGAGGTGCACTTAATGTTATCAAGAATTTTCCATCAAAAACCATCATCATTTAGGAGTAATAGGCTATTTTCTGTCCTGTTTTAACCCTCCTCATCAGAAAGCTAGAACAGAATATGCGTGGAGGATTGTAGACTGGGAAGTAAACGCCCACTGCTCTTATTGGATAATAGTTGTGTATGTTTGACAGCCGGCATTCCTCACAGATAGACGCTGCTGTGATTTAGGTCAAAAATGCATAAATAACTGAATACATATCAAGTGATCTGTAAGAAGAGAAAAAGCAATAGTGAACACATAATGAAAACAGTTACTCACACTTGTGTGGTGCGACATTACTGTCAGATCCAATATATCCGGCACAGTATCATCTTTTAGTTTCAATCTTTCTGAAAATCCTGTGTAGAATTGTGCCTTGTTTGTAAACTAATCTTGACAGTGATGTAGAATCGTGGGCGGGGCTAAACAGGCAGCGATGTAGAATCGTGGGCGGGGCTAAACAGGCAGCGCTGTAGAATCGTGGGCGGGGCTAAACAGGCAGCGATGTAGAATCGTGGGCGGGGCTAAACAGGCAGCGCTGTAGAATTGTGGGCGGGACTAAACAGGCAGTGATGTTGTTGATCATCTTCTGCAGAGGCGGTGCTTATCCACACTATTACATCATAAAGTAGAACATTCCACAAGCTGACGTTTTGGCGGACTGCCTTCAGTATAAGCTGTTTTTAAACTAATGAGAAGGTTGAGTTCTGAAACTTACAGGATGTTTTTATAGCACAATGACCTCTTATATGTGAAAAGATCAAGGGAATTCTGGTTTCTCAGTTCATGACCCCTTTAAAATACATAAGATGTCGCAGCTGTGTGTGTTGTTCATCTGCTCTTCATCGCGTGGCTCGTCATGAATCTGCTTCCTCTCATTGAATCTGTGTGTGTCTCGTGTGGCGTCTCATGCGTGGGGTGTGTGTCTCTCTGTCCCGTCTCTCCTCAGATGTGTTAAAGGGTCTCATGTCAGGGGCTCAGGCCGCTCTGCCTCCACACTTACAGCTGGCTTTCTCAGGTAAACGCTGAGCGCGCGACGCTCCCGCTGCCTGCATGCACGCGTTTGCGGCTTTCTTCATCATCTTCAGTCGGGACGAGTCGCAGTGCTTCATTACTGACTTTCTCTCTCTCTCTCTCTCTCTCTGTGTGTGTGCAGATGTCAATCAAACGCAGGGCGGAGACTTGAAGAGGAAGAACCTATGACATCGCAGAACTCTGATCCGGGACTGACTCCGCCCACTTTTATGCATGATGTGCTGGCCGTCCAATGAGACGGAGCCGTTTTTATATGCATTTGAATATTGATGCTGATGAGTAATGTTATTTGTTTGAATGATGATCCATGGGTTGTACATATGTATCAATGTTTACACAGACAGACCTGATCACTGTGACGGGGAGAGAAACACTTTTAATTGTGTGTGTGTGTGTGTGTGTGTGTTTGCATGTCGATTTGCGCGCAGCTTCTGTAAATGAGGATTTTTTTAATGTGTGGAGCATATGAATATTGATGAGTGAAGGTGTTCCTCCCTCTCTGGTGTGGGTCTGTGTCTCTGGTGCTGTTTACCAACGAAACGCCCTTTAAATTGTTCAAACCAAATGACAAAGGGTGGGACGGTGACCATTGTAATATACTTGAACTTTCAGGATTCGTTTACTTAAGTTTCAGGACACAAGCAAAATAAAAATGCAGAAGCCTTAGTGAAAACTCTCTGTCTGTGATGTAAAATTTTTACAATTTTCAAAAAGGTTTCTTTGTCTCAGAGCAGTTTCTTTATTGTTTTGTATTGAAGTATTGGTTTATACTTGAACTGAAGTAGGTTCAACAAACATTTGATCATTTATAGATTTTTTCCAACTTAGAAATTTCTAGTTACAATGAATATAGAAACACATTTCTATTGATATTTTCTTTCATTTTGTTTTAAATCATATTTTAAGTGATTTTTTTTTTCCTGTATTAACCCACACTGAAATGATCTGTCGTCTTAAAGTTATACATAAAATGAAATGAGGTAACCTTAAAATCTCAAAATATAGAAGAAAACTGGCATGGTCATAGGCCTACATGAATCATAAAAGTGCTGATTTAAGATTAAAACACTCATAAAATATCAATTATACTTGACTCTGAAAATGAAGCTCCTGCCAGATTTGAATGGTTTTATTTGGTTGTAAGTAAAAAATATAATTGTTTACTTTTTATACTGGGCTGATATTGCTTTAAATATCTAATTAGATGCCCCTCAAAGAAGACTTGTTGACAAACAACCTTACTCTGAATTTGGTGTTAATATGTTTTGAGCTCTGAACTTGTTATAAATTAAACTATTATTATTAGCTTGGATTAATACAATGAGTAAAGTTTCAAATTCAGGTACTATTAACCCTGAACATTTTACTGTTTAAATCCAGATTTTCCTCTTCTGAAAGAAACAAGTTTTGTTTTTGCCAATGCTGTTTAAAATGCACAAAGAGAATAATTTCATCCAAAATTAAAAAAAAAAAAAGTATATATTTAGAAATTTTACATTAGCAAGTTACAAAAAAATACGCCAAAGTTAGAATTTTAAGTTAGAAATTGCTCTCTCTGAGCACGTCATGAAGAGCCACGATCGAAAGAAAACTCTCCGAAACTTGTATGAACCCGGAAGTAAGATTTTTGGCACAGAAATACAAAAAAATGAGCAGAAGAGACTTCTTTTAAAAACTTTAAAAATCTTACCAATTACAAAATTCTGAATATGTACAATTTCATCCTGTTTTGCCAATCTACCAGAAGTCATTTAGACAGAAATATTTAAAGGTAAAGTAGCGAGAGAGTGGAAAATCATCATGAAATAAAATTAATCGTTACTGTGTTTGGAAATGGTTCCTTTAATACTGCTCGACTTGTGGTAGATAACCATGTAGGAATGAAATAAACTACAAAATTATACACTTGTACAGTATTATAAAGCATATGAACATTTTGAAAATGTCTAAAGAAATATTTTATGGAAAAAAAAGGTGATTCTCAAAGAACGAAAGAAAAACATCTCAGTGGTTTGTTCGCTAGCAAACGTCTGCTCCTAGGGGAACACGAAGATTTTAAATATAGCATTTCCTCCCCTTTGTCATGTTTGTTCATTCTGCATTTGCATGCACAACTTTCGCTTTCCTCTGAGAAACTCGCAAAACTTTTTCGCGAGGGAACCAAGCGGCAACCTCCCGCTCTCTCGTGAAGCCAACACGGAAGTGACTAAACCTGTAATTCATCGACTGGCCGCTAGAGGCTCCAAAAGGGAGTCAATCCCATAGACTCCCCATGTTAAAATGCCCAACTTTACAGCAGAAAAAAACATGTTTACATCCTGGTTCAAAAGGTGGTTTTGGTCTATATAGCTAATTTTGCCCTTCATGACAACTGTGAGGAGGGTGAATTTTTTTATAAGTCATCCGTTTAAATTATATTAAGCCTTAAAGTTCTGCATAATTAAGGGCGTGGCCACTTGAGTGACAGGTGGATTGCCGCTGCCGTCATCGGCGTCAAGCTAGGTGGGCGTGGCTTCAGCAGCCAGCTCCCGCCTCTTTGCCCATCTTCGATTATCCGGGAGTGACGCGTGGTGAAGCGCTGCCAAGATGGCGACGGCCGGCTCCGCCCACTTTTGAGCTTCAAAAAAGCTCTTCGGAAACCTACGGGTGACGTGACGGACACTACGTCCATGTGTTTAAACAGTCTATGGAGGGAACGTGACAGCAGCCTTTTCCCGCCACTAAATAAAAAAGGAAACCGCAACCCTTTTTCCCCCCCCACAATTCTGACTTTATAACAAGCAACTGTGCGTTATAAAGTCAGAATTGTGAGATAGAAACACTGAGGCACGTAAACGGTTCTTTGTTTAACGTCGGGGATTTCTCCTGCTTATTAACAAGCTACGTTCATACATTACAGTAGCAAACATCAGATGAACATGATAAACACCGGACGGACGAGATCCTCAACATATACATAAAGTGCTCATTCTGAAATCTGAATAAAGATGTATGCTTCGTAGCTACTACACATATACCTTCATTCGCCTTGTACAGGTATTCATCGTTTATGTCGTTTTGTTATAGTTTTTTTATTCGTACAGTAGGCTAACTGCAAATGTTTCAACAATGATTTCGTCAACAGCATTCATTTTGAAGCAGGTAATGATTTAAACGCTGGTTAAATTAATTATTCATCTAACATACCTAACATTTTACATGGAAACGGTAATGCTGGTAAAACGCCTCATTTGCGCGATTTTGGAGAGTCTGAAACGGTTGCTCAATCAGGACATTAAAAATATACATTCAGTCCGTCTGCCATATTTTGTTCAGACCAAGACCTCCCGCTCTCTCGTGAAACCAACACGGAAGTGACTTAAACTGCAATTCATCGACTGGCCGCTAGAGGCTCCAAAAGGGAGTCCCAATGTTAAAATGCCCAACTTTACAGCAGAAAAAAACGTGTTTACAGCCTGGTTCAAAAAATGATTTTGGTCTATATAACTAATTTTGCCCTTCATGACAACTGTGAGGGGGGTGAATTTTTTTATAACTCATCCGTTTAAATTATATTAAGCTTTAAAGTGCTGCATAATTAGGGGTGTGGCCACTTGAGTGACAGGTGGATTGCAGCTGCTGTCACCAGCGTCAAGCTAGGTGGGCGTGGCTTCAGCAACCTGCTCCCGCCTCTTTGCCCATCTTCGATTATCCGGGAGTGACGCGCGGTGATGCACTACCAAGATGGCGACGGCCGGCTCCGCCCACTTTTGAGCTTCAAAAACTCTCTTCGGAACCCTACGCCCATGTTTTTATACAGTCTAAGGTTCAGACCAAATGAGAACAGGCTACCTCGGTATCAGAAGTGTTGAGATTTTTAGAATGCACATTAGTTTATGTAGAACTGTTTATGGACCAGATAAAATGTATCATTCTGCCTCATCCTTTTTATAAAAAAAAAAAATTAAAAAAAAGATTTAACAGCTGAAATGTTATAATTAAAAAAAAATAAAAAGTCAAAACTTTACTTGAGCATGTAGCACAACAACAGGTTATAATTTTGTGTTACTTTAAAATCCGCCCATCATTTTTTAATGTTTATATTTCACCGTTTATGCAAACAAAGAGTGCATTAGTGTGCTGCTAATTTTATTTGTTGGCTTTAGTCATGAAACTTGGTCAAATGATTTCAGTGTGTGTATCAGTACTTTATTTAATATGTCCAGCACATTTGAACAATGCCGTGTATAACAGTTTGTTTTGATATACTAATTATTCAAGAGATTTAAGTATTGTGTAATATGGGTGGCTCTCAGCCGCTTTTCTATTGTTTTCACTAAGGTTGGAGACCCCTGTTGTATACACGTTATTTGTATGAATCTCCATATAGCCTCATAATGTAAACTATAGTAATCCGTATTTTATTCATATCGCTAATAACCGTGACCGAACAGCATGCCTCTCACCTCGGAGTCGAGTTTCTGTTTCTTGGCCACCATCCCGGTCTTGAGGGCCAGTCTCGCGCCTCCTCTCCGCTTGCCCACCTGAGTCAAACAGGAACAGACTGACAGCGTTACACGGGCTTTAGGAAGCGACAGTGGCCCGAAACTACGGACACCCCTCTCTTTATGTGTGTGTGTGTGTGTGTGTGTGTGTGTTACGCTAATGTAAAGCTCGTCCACTGCCGTTCTTACAAAGCTGCTCGCGCTTAGCGGCTTCTTGTCCGGAGCCGCGGGAGAGCTCTTCGTCTTCTCCTCTTCCTCGCCCTCTCTCTTCTTCCTCCTCTCTTCCTCCTCCATCTTCTTCTTGAACAGCTCCATGAAGCTGCCGTCGTTGGCGAAGGCGTTGGCCGCTCTGGGCGCCCCGTGAGCCGGGCTGCTGCCGCCGGACTCCCCGCTGCTGCTGCTGCTGCTGCTGGAGGACTGGTGAGGATGAGGATGAGGAAGAGGATGAGGATGATGATGGCGGTGATGTTTGTCTGATTTATGCTGCTTTTTCTCCATCGTTTTACCGTTCGGTGAAATAATAAATAAAGCCTTTACATCCACTCCTGCGGTGTTGTGATTTCTGCACCGAAGCCGTTTAATGAAGAATTAAATGTATTTTAAATGCGTAATAAAGGTGAAAATGAAAGACTGATACGTTAGCTTGCCTTGTTATGGGCTCGTAAAGCGTCGCGACGAAACAAAAACACCGTCGGCGACAAACAGAAAGAGCGCGATTATCGAGCCGCGGGTCCGAGTGTGATTATGATCGCAGAGCGGCCGGATTGGCAGGATTTCGGGGTTTTATCCCGATGTTTCTCGCACAGGTTTGTTGTGTTTCAGCGTCGCTCCGCCATACTGCACTTCATCTGCAGTCAGAGCCGGAGAGAGACGCGCCGTCGCCGCCTGCAGGCCGGAGGAAGAACCGCAGCGCCTCTCACAAACACTGCACGTTTAGTTCGATATTTGAACGCAGTGTAGAGGAAAATCCTGTTGTAGTCTCTCTGCTTTAAAATTTCACGTTCCACTGCGTTACTTGCCGTTGACTTGTAATTAATCGCGTAATTTACTAGCAATTTCTGAGTGAATATTGCTTATACAACCATTTTTTTTGTGTGTAGTTATTTATTTCATAGTTTTATTATCCATGAAAACATATGTTAAGAAAAATAAAAATCACAGCAGAAACACAGTGGTTTCTGGATTAGGCCTAATATTTAATCCAGAAACCATTCATGTACAGGCTCGTTTAGTTTTTAGAAAGACTGTTTGGACAAAATTTTACTCCGGTAGACATTTTTAGTCCTCACATTTAATGGATTAAACGATTTGTTCAGAGCAAAAGAGTTAAAAGATGTCAAAATACATAAATGATCAAATAAGATTTGGCTAACTAATCTACCTAAATTAGATTACAATAAATACAAATATTTAATCAAATAAATACATTTAGATAAAATAGATTCAAATGATTTGATACAGTACTATAAATGATACTTAGATTAGACTAACTCGTCTTATTAAATGTCATTTAAATCATTACAAATGATTCAAATAAACAATGAAATCAATAGTTTGGTTTACGTATAAATTCATTTAGATTCAAATGATTCAATATAACGGTTCAGTGCTATAAATGATCAAATGAGATCATCTCATCTAGCTAAATTTGATGAAAAGAAATACTAAATAAAATTGGATTCAAACTAATACATACAATTTGATTGAACTAAAAAGTTGGAATAAAAATAAAAAGTAATATAAAGTGATTTCAATAACACGTCTAACGGTACAGTGCCACAGTAAGAAAACATAAGAATGCAACATAATAGAAACTATTTTTCACATATTTATAATATTGATTTTTCACAACAATGCAAAATGCAGCATGATCGGGATTATATTTGTAATCGGAAATACTTAAGACGCCTGAACTATAAAACGGTCATTGGCATCTTTTTAATATACTGTTCCCATATTTGTCAGCAAATATTGATCTACTTTTTTTGCTCACCTTTTAAGTGTTCTATAAATTCTACAATTTCAATATTATCTTTAAGGCAAACATGGAGTCATGGACCATACATTTAACAATAAATGTACTTATTCATCCGACTTATTCAGTATTTCAAGTGCTGATTTGTGGATCATGTTTAATAATAAGGTTTATTATCCATCCATTTCTGACTGGAGTCTCATCATTTATTGTTAGTCCAAAGCGACTAACACGAAAGCAAACACACAGACTCGGCTCTGATATTTTGTACCAATAACCTCTTTTATTGTAGTGCAAAGAGAAGAACAGTGAGACTAAAGTCTAAACCCCATCAGTCCAGAGCGAACGATGAAAACACCGTGAGAAACACACGAACAACTCATGAACATCAGCACTGTGACGAAACTCTCAGAGAGTGAAGAACAAACAAACGAACGAAAGAAGCTCAGCGTCCGGACTGACGAGGGCCAGAACACAGTGTTCACAGTCAGTAGTGTTTCCGCCTCAATAAATACCAGTGACAGACTTTGGTGACGTTACATCAAAACAAAAACAAAAAACCTAAAAACCGTCAAGCAGCAACCGGTGGAAACTTCCATGATTAGTGTCATTAAAACACAGCAGCTCTCTGGGAAAAAAAATCATTATAAAAGCACTTCATTTGTTCGTGGCTTTAAAGGCTTCCAGCATTCAGCGTTTGGTTTCTGTGCAGCAGATGATTGACGGATGGCAGAAGGCACCGGGTGTGTAAAGTGCGTTCACATGCACCGTAACCCTGATCAACACCCAAAACTACAGTAAAAAGACATTAAAAGAAGCTACTTCATTAAACGCAGTGGTTTCTGGCGCTAATTAACACTAAACTAAAACTCGACTACACACTGACGCTCACATCAACTAAAAATAACACAAAGCTTCATCTAAAACACATTGATAAAAGACATCCTCTCTCGGCTCTCAGCAGGCCGGTGACAGACAGACACAGAAGCGTTCGTCCAGGATCGGCGGTGTGAGTGGGTCTATCTGGGCTGCAGGCGGGACAGGCCTCTGCGGGCTTGTGTCCACTGTCTCTGCTGGGCCAGGAAGGACTGAGCCGGAGCAGAACCGGGTCCCGATCTCTCTCCGGCCACCTTCTGATGAAGAGCCATTCCCTGAGACACAGAGATGCAGCTCTACAAAATCAGCTCAACTCAGCCCTCAGTGTGCGTAAACAAATGGAAAATTTGAAATTTGATTTATAACAACTTTTTAGCAAGTTTTTCCCCCCTAAATATTGAG